AAGAATCACGTGGCTTCATGTTAAACATCAATCTAACAATTTGTTTTGTGTGAGAAATATCCTTTTTATTTCGGTAGCATTAACCCCATAACATGATATGAAATGATGGTGTTGAATGTACGAATGCATAATAAACTTGGATAAGAATAGTCTCATGAAGTTCATACCTCAATTGCGAAGTAGGATTTGGAGAACTTTTTGACAACTTTCAATATGCTCAGACCATGAGAGTGACTCATCAATCATTACACCCAGAAACTTGGTAGAGTTATGTGTCTGAAGGAGTTCACTGTCGATCAGATTTTTCTTATTGAAATATATAATTTATGTTTTCTGTGCATTCAGCATCAGTTTATTGGAATGACAATATTTTGTTATTTCACTAATACAGAGTTCAACTAATAGAATCACATCCTCCATAGATGATTCAGCTATACTAAATGTTGTGTCATCAGCAAAACAGAAAACCCACTCCCCCCGGACAGTGGTTACATGAATGAAAAATTCGTCATTATTTGATAAGAAATAACAATTTGGAACATCTTGCAACAATAACAAATAACTGGTTCAATAAATGGAGGCTCCAGCCAAACCCATCTAAGTCTCAGTTCATCATATTTAATCATCGAAATTCCGCAACTTCTCCAACAATCAACGTTTTCCAACATATCTTACATGCAAAATCGACAGTTAATTACCTAGGTGTTACGCTTGATTCCAGACTGAATTTCAACAGCCACGTCGATAACAAAAAAAGAAAGTGATTGCAAGAGCCGCACATTTCACAAGTTTGACAGTCCCGGGAGCAGGTGCAAACATATCAACAGCAAGCCGAATGTATAAACTAATCTGTCGTCCACTTATTGAATATTCGCACTCACTGTTTCTCAATATCAAACAAAGGGCCTTGAAAACAATTTTAGTATCTGAAACAACGGCTATAAGGAAAATAACAAGATTAAGGCATCCCAATAACCCCAAACACAACCCTCCGAACCCTCTGCTGTACCAACTAACTGGTATTGAGGAAAGACTACCGTCACTTACTCAGAAGTTTGCTAGAAAAGACAAAAATGTAGAAGTCTTTAGTTTCAGCTGTTCAGCATGTTTAGTTTTTTGGTGAGACACATAAAAATACAAGTGTTTTGCGTATTCGGAGATTTTCTGCTATCGAAAAAAAAATATATCAAAGAATTTGCATCAAATGTGTGAAATATTGGCAGTGGCATACGGTGATAGTACTTCAAGTGACAGAAGTAATGAAAATATCAGCTGGTAGAGAAATCAAAAAGCATAAAAATTATGGGAATGTTCATTCCGGTGAGGATGTCATAGCAACAAAAACTTTCAATTTTAGAATTCACTTGCTGCTATTAACTTCTCTGATAGATCACACCTAATTGTAACTTCTGGTTTTTTATCTATATTGATCCCTTGTGTTGTTCTGTACTTTTTTATCATAAAGCTTAGCAGATTTATACCTGGCACTCACACTCGAATATCAATGGGAAACAGATTTCATAACAGATTTCTGTATTGTTGTGTAAATATTTTATAGTAGCATGACTCTATAGATAGATAGATAAAATTTATTTGTTCAGGATAAAAATACAGTACCCCTGAGGTCATAGAACATGTCAGTATAAATATAGACATATATCACAATAATATTAGATTAAAAGAGGAAGGAAAGATGTACAGTACATAAACTGCACAAAAATATATGCATACATATAAAAATAATAATACATGTAGATATAGGCTCTTACGAGTACATGATTGTAGTAATAGCAGTCAATAGTATATATACATTTACAAGTTTATCCACTTTCAACATCCGACAATCCATAGCATTACTTTAATTTCAATTTTATTTAATTATCATGACCTCCTGCTCAATTTAACCCTTTCAAGCTTAGTGGTTTCAGCATATAACCACCTTTTCAACAATTTTATTCATAGCGGCTTTGTGGCTTTATGAATATACCACACTTTCTGCCGTAGCACACAAGCACCATCTATTGATGAAAAGTCATACTTTTAGAATCGGAGCTGCAAGTAGTCTGTATAGTCCAGTCATTATAGTAAGTTCACCTCGGAATTCGAGATTACCAGCTGTAAGTCTGTAAATACTTGTATATTGACACCCTAAAAGTTGTCTCAAAACCTACATATGGTAGGGTGTAAGCAACTATTAAATTTCAAGGTCAAAGGTCACAAAAATCGGTTTTTTGCGCTTTTTTGGAAATATNTCTCTACGAACTTTATTTGAGAAATATATCACAATATGTTTCGCTAGCACACTAGCTTTCTCAAGTGATTTTTCAAGCACTTCGATAATTTTCTCACCAGTAGAATCTTTGCCAGTCAGGACCAAGTAAAAACGGCCTTCGTTGACTTCATCCCGAGCAGACAATTTTTATGCTGACGAAATTATTCGACTTGTGTTACGTTGGCAAAAGTGAACTGATTCAAATAACCCTCATTTCGATTAAATTGAATAAGTATTTACCGAGATAGTACAGTTTGAACTAAACTCATAAAAATGGACAAAACTTTAGAAACAACGTAATAATATGTATTTTTTGAGGCGTGTCAATGCAAAAATCATTATATCCTTTCTGGTCAATTTATAATAATAAATAATTTATTATAATAAATCCAATTCCATGGATTTAAAATTTTTGTTCAAAACCGGATACAGCGAGTTTTGCAACGCCACGCCTCATTTTCGCTTTGCTGGAGTTTGACTTTTAATGTTTACAGTAATAAAATTGTATTTTTGTAGGACTATTGAAAAACGTCCGCCTTCAGCTTGACTCGAAAAACTTTATTCTAACAAGTAATGGCGACATTTCTCTCTCGATAAATAATATACTATCAAATACTATATTAGTCATTTCATGTCACTCAAACCTTTTTGTGGTTTTTGTCTTTCACATACACGTTTTCTATTGGCCAGAGTCAATTATCCGCATATTTGATTATCCAGACTAACGTCGGTTCCAAATGATTTGGATAACTGGGGTGGTCTACTGTATTCCGTACTCTCCGCGTAAGATGAAATATTTCACTTAGGTTGAAGTTCCCAAACTTGATGTTTATTCAAACTAAAAGTTGTTTTTTAAATACTTATATTGAGAGTGTACAAATTACTAAAATTAAGACATGACATTTTCATTTGCATACGACGAAAACACATACTGCATAAAACTGATTGTAATAATGATGCCTAAAAATTAGGATAACAGAAAATAGGTGTTTATTGGAAAAACTTTTAACGGTATTTTCTTAATAAAATTGAAAGGGATATTTGTTTAGGAGATTATAATTTTTTAGATTGGTATTGTCTAGATTGGTACTGAAGAAGCAATAAGGCAAGGATCTTATTCAGAAACCTCGGATGTCCGCCATTGATGATCACATTGTTCCATGTGAGTAAAATTTTACCTCTTTCATATATTATATTCTTTAGCGATCTTGTGATATCTGATACCTACATTTCCATAACGAATGTTTGAAGTAGAAAACTGAACAGGAGAAAGTGTTTTTTTTTTGTATAATTCAATGTTCATATAAAATTAGTTGTTTCGAAAGTTTTTTTTTTCTTTGCGTAATTTAAGGTTTACATGATCTAGCTGTTTCAAGAGGGCTTTCTCTTCCAGTTTGTGTCTGAAAGTTACTTCTTTGCATAATTTACACGTCTATGTAGAGTTTATTTTGAAATGAATTGCTTTCTTTTTTTGTTTGAGAGTTTCTCATATTTCTTTGTAAAAAGATGAATTGAAAGGCAAAAACCTTTCTTTCCCAATTTCTTGCTATATACGAGTTTTTACCAATGTAAATTTTCCAAATTTTTGGTAACACTGTTTATACACTTACAAATATATAATTCAACATTTGTTTAATGAATCAGCACTGCCCCAAAATATCAGACCATATGCTAATAAGAATTTAATAACTCCGTTTTCGATTCACACGTTCAAAGGTTTTGTTATTGGTTTTTGTCAATTACCGGGAATCACTGTTCACATCATGGTAAAACAAATCTCTTGAGAAAAAATTTTTGTTAAATTTACTGACAGTAGTCAGTGACATCAACGTACACGTTATTTAGATTTGTTTTTCTGAACATAGCAAAAGTTTTCGAAGAAAATATTGAAATTATAAATTACTAGATGGGCTAAAAACTTCATAGGCTAACACACAGATGGCGATACTAGTATTGAATCCATACGATATTTAGTTGACCCCAACCACCAAAATACACGTATATGAATTTTGGAGCTCTCAGACTTTTACTTTTTTATTTATTCATTTAACGGGTAGTCCTAATTACAATTTGTTATAAAAAAATTATTTGTAAAATCTTAACTAAATTAAAGATAATAAATACATAATACAATATAAAACGCAATACAATAATATAGTGATAAAATCACAGTACAATTTTGTCATGGAGAAAAAAAAAGTTTGTAAAATCTTAAACTGAACTAAAGATAATAAATACATAGCACAATAATAATATAAAACAAAATACAATATGATAGTAAATTCACAGTACAATACAATAGTGGTACGATATCTACTATATAAAAATGGATGTTTGTTGGTAAGTGATAAACTTACATTTTTCTGTAACTCGCCACTAGATGGGCTGCAGAGCAATTTTTTTGAAAGAACTGTTCTATACACAGACCATATACTCTAGACGGTTCACAGAGACGGAAAAAAGCGCCATCTGAAGATTTGTATCAGTACCATTGTGACGGACGCGGGATATTCAAATGTTGTATATAGTTGGAATATTCATTTTATTCAAATGTTTTTTGGAAATTTCAGCGTATTGTTTACAGTCTCAAACTACATTTATATATTGAGTGTTGTGTGGACTTTGAACAATACGCAGAAATTTCCAAAAACAATGTCAAAATTATAGTTAGAACAAATTCTTAACCACTTCTTTATGTTGCAAGGCAATAAGGTTTTGAAAAATCAGCTGAATTATTATAGATTTTTTATTCAGAACATTTCAACATTAAACATTTTGTGTGATTATATGTTCAGGTTGCTTAGAAATCTTTTTCTTTATTCTGTTCAAACGAATTTTATTGGCTTGTAATTTAATTACATTTTTACATGTATACGGTTTCGATTTTCCCTGTATAATTTGATTTACACGCTTGCACCAATTATGTGTTGTCGTGGTGAATTATATTATTTTTATGTTCCTCTTTGTTGCAAGATAAGAATTCAAAGCTAGCCTTGCCTCTTACTGTATTTTCAATTATATGAATTGAATGTTTGGAGTATGGTTGTTTATCTAAACAATATTTTATCACTTTGACAATATCACAAAAAGAAGTGAGAAATGATAACGTTGGGTAACACAATCTTCTAGTGAAAGATCCACCATAAACTCTAAACGAAATTAACAAGTTTTGGTGTGAATGATAATTCATTGAGAACATACATTTCAACATATGTCTATATGTTTATATTCATTACCTTCAATACTGTGAGAAGATTCGTTCAATTCTGGAATCTCAATGACTAACTCATTAAATTGAGTACTTTCTTGAGCAGTACTATTTGAAGACTTAGATGTTGATGGAGTACCATATACATCATTTGGGCCTGTTGAACCTATAAAAAAATCTGTTTCATTTAAGTTCCAATTAAAATTTTTACTCACCAGGAAGATTTAGAGTTGGAACAGCGTTTCCAAATAACTTGCGAGTCCAAGCAGAAATGTATTTTGCCTCAAAATGACTATCACACAGCCTTCTAGAACCGTAAACTTCTTTTGGGTCCATTTCCATCAGTTCAAAGTTATTAATTACCAGTATCCATTTCTTGAACCTATATTTATATCTTTATCTGGATTAGGTAACGCATGTCTTGTACTAGATATACTTCTGCAATGAGGAACGCAACATTTGTTGTGGTAAACCATTGTAAAACAATCAAAATAACGAAATAAATAATCACTAGGATACACAGTCAAATAACACCACAGACCAACAACACACGAGTGACATGACCATCTTCTTCTTATTTTTGACATACATAACAAACCACAAGAATATATGTGGGTCCGTGACATAAAACCAAAGAACAAATTTACAGTGCCATCTTAAGATTTGTATCGGTACTAAAAAAGGGATTCAAGGTGAAGTAACCTACGTGAACCGTCTAGGGTATATGGTCTGTGTTTCACTGGTTTCTTGGGACTAAAGGCATTTCTAAACGGGCAACATTTTTACTGTAATATGTTCGCAGTAATATTCACAACTATAGCCAATCTATTATGACAACATTGGTAGCAGAATATGGTTCGGCAATATATATTTCGACAATAATTACCTGCAACAGTGTGACACATGTAATCAAAAATAGTTTGTTTCGTAGATGAGCTACATAACCGGGCAACAATGTCTGACGACGAAATGATTATTTTCGCGGCGGCTTATATTGTTTTAAAAGAAGACGATTCGACCTTACTTCAATAGGCGTGAAACTTTAGATAACTTGAGTCTAGAAATAAGTCTTGATAATAAGTTATTTAAAAACTTTTCAAGAATGTCAAAGAGTGACTATGAGAGTTTTTTTTAAACAAAATTGGCCAAAAATAAAGAGAAATGATACAAACATGAGAAAAGCAATACCTGTTTACACAAAATTGGCGATAACTCTACGATTTTTAGCGACTGGTGATTCATATAAAAGCTTGATGTATTTGTTCAGTGTCACATTCATCGATTTCTGTTATTGTTTCAGAAGTTTGTGCAGCTTTAATAGAAGGATTAAAAGAATACATGAAGGTAAGTCAACATTGATTTATTAAGTAATAATAATGGTAAGTAAGCAGTAACAATAATATAGTAAGTGATTGGTAAGAATTTAAACAAAGAATCATTCATCACATTGGGGGATAGTAACCAACACAAGTGTCTCATAAGCAGAATTTGCAGTAAGCACAGTTGGACCTGGAGAGGCATAGTGTTCACACTGAGGGCTGATAATGGGTTGGAAAGTATTTTGCGTTGCCTGGGAGTTTGAATGGGACATGTCTAAATATTGGCTTTGTGAAGTTCTAGCTCCGCTCCTGCTATCGTTGTTAGGACTTTGCAACGGTGTACTGGTAGATGAACATTGTTTTTTATACATTCTCATGTCAGAGTCAAACATAATTTGCATTATTTTTAGTTCTGCCTGAGCACATGTGTGAGCATCATATTTGCTTAACTTGTTTGCTATATGCTCTCCAAAACCACTATATTCATTTCCCCTCTATTCACCAACATCATATATAATCTGTTGAGCCCTTCCCAAAATTGAATCTGCAGTCTTAGTGCTCTTAAAGACACATGCTTTTGTAGTGGGATGTGAGGATAGCAGAGAGTCCGATGTTTCTGAATCAACATATTCTTCTTGGTCAGCACTGTTGTCAGTGTCTGGGATTTCAGTCACCTGAAAATGCAAGAAATGCTAAATAATATAAAGGAAAAATTATCTAATTAAATTTCTTTATTAGATACAGAATTTAGATGAAATGACCTACTCAGTGCTGAAAACTAAGTTAGAAAAAAATAATTGAAAGGTTGCAGCAGGTTGATTTTTACTCAAAAAATTAGGTTCCTGAATTGGTGCAAAGTTTAATAATTTTTTGTTTTCAGATGCTCTCAAAAGTGACAGAGTGGAAACAAGTCGCGAAAGATTTTGAGGATCATTGGAATATTCCTCACTGTTTGGGTTCAATGGATGGCAAGCATATTGCAATTACTTGTCTACCGAACAGTGGTAGTCAATATTTTAATTATAAACAGTATTTTAGCATAGTGCTATTTGCTGTAACAGATGCACGTTACAAATTTTTTGTATGTACATGCTGGAGTTCAAGGAAAAATATCCGATGGGGGAGTTTTTAGGCATACAGCTTTTGGGAAAGCACTCCTAAGCCAAAATCTTAACATACCGCCTCCTGAATCCCTCCCTGGTCGAGTAATGTTAACACCATAAGTTTTCCTGGCAGATGATGCATTTCCTTTAACCGAGAATATTTGTAAGCCCTATACTATAGATTTGAACATAGGGTCTCCTAAACGTGTATGTAACTACAGGATATCCAGGGCACGCCAAATTGTGGAACACTCTTTTGGTATCTTGGCTTCAGTTTTCGTATATTACACACAACTATTAATGTTGACTTGAAACACGTACAAAGTATAGTTCTAGCTTGTGCATATTTGCATAATTTTCTGCGACGAAACACAACAGCACAAGCTCTGTATTCACCACCTGGGTGCTTTGATTGTGAAGACATAGACGTTGGAACAGTAACACCAGGTTCGTGGAGATTGGATGAACAACACTTAGCAGATTTAAGAAAACTGGGGAGAAATGCAACCACAAGAGCAAAAGCAATGAGAGACGAGTTTATGAATTATTTTATGACAGAGCAGGGTCGAGTGGCATGGCAAGATAAATATTCAGCACAAAGAACTTGATATCACTGTACCATATAAAAATATCCTTTGACAAAAAAATACATCAGCTCTTTTACATTCTATTTGTGTAGTACGTTTCATTATAATGTCTGTTTACGTTTTCAATAATTACGTTTACGAAAAGTCCATTTTAGAACAGAACATGAATCCAGTTATCTTTTTATTTAAGAGAAGCGAAATATTTTTTGCTCCGTGGGTAGTGGGTACCTACGCTATCAGTCATTAATACAATAATAAAGATACTCACCTGTGTTGCATTTTCACTGTCCAATCCGGTATTCGGGCTATCTTGAGTAAGAATAAACGATATCGCGTCGAAAGCAAACCATTTCACTACTTTACCGCCGGCACAACCGCTTATATCTTCTTTTTCTCCCCATTCTTTGCGTAAGTTATCAAGCTTCTGAATTTTTTGTAAGCCTCATCACTGGTTATACCAAAATTTTCGGAAATAACAGCCCATCCATATTTTTTAGCAATTCTATCTTTATATATTGTGGTTTCCACATTCCACAACTCAGTGTGTAAATGTAACTCATTGATAAAATCAATAATCTTTTCATTAGACCACGTATTAGTCATTTTATTAATTAATATAACCTCCGAAATACCACCAAAACTACCTAAACAATGTAATATTGCAGAGTATTTTCGTTCGCCAACTTCGCTGCAACACACATAAATACATGCGGCAAACATATGTAGCTATATGGCCGGGCCATACTAAAAATATTACGTAATATTGCATAGTCTGGCTGTTATTGCTGGTAATGTTGCCGGCCACTCTGTTGCAGCCACATTTAGAAAGTTTAGAAACGCCTTAACAACAAATGCTTTTTATGTTGATTATATACTCACTTTCAGAATTCACTTGCTGCTATTAACTTCTCTGATAGATCACACTTAATTGTAACTTCTGGTTTTTCATCTATATTGATCTCTTGTGTTGTTCTATACTTTTTTTATCAGCAGATTTACACCTGGCACACACACTCGAATATCAATGGGAAACAGACTTTCAACAGGTTTCTGTATTGTTGTGAAAATATTTTATCAATCAATCAAATATACTTTATTGTCTGAAGAACTACATCTTGTAGACAAAGTCATAAATAATATGTAAGATACAAAATCTACATAAAAAAAACATACACAACAAAATACAATGAACATAAGCTAAAAATGTGAAATACACTGAGATATTCAGCTGGAAATAACAAGACCTAGAAATAAAAGTTAAGATTCAAGTGAATTGTCAAGATACTCCTGAACTGAATAATAGGCCCTATCAACAAGTAGCATTTTAACTGCCTTTTTGAATTTGTTAAGCACTGTAATTTCTTTAATTCAGGCTGGTAAGTGGTTAAACAGTTTGATCCCGTTGAATATAATTGAATCCCTAACAAGGGAGCTCGCAGGAATAAGCAGATCTATGTTACTATTGTGGCTACGAGTATTATATGAGGAAGGGGGAGATGCACAAGAATAATTTTTTTTATCAAGCAAAATGATTCCAAGATAAACAAGGCAGCTACTGTTAAATCTTTTTTGGAGTTTAGATGCTTTCATGACATGGACTGAGTTCTCCCAGAAGGGCAATCGGTAAGTCAAGATAGACTGAATAAGTCTCGAGTACGTTAGTTTTAGCACATTTGGTGAGGAAGTTCACCATAACTACTATATTAAAGAAACACATGCTGATCGGTTTTGTTATATTTTCTATACGTTCAGTTGTGAGAATTAAAACATCCTATGTGACATGTAATTCTTGCGGTTTCCCCTCAATTATTATTCAATGGATAAAATGTCGATTCTGTATCACTGCCTGATTTGATTTAAATTAGTTCTTCTCTGTTCGAGAATATAATTACTCTCACCGAGTTAGCATCATAAAGATATGCTCGTCATTTATAGTAAAATAAATAAATCATATTACTGTTTAAAAATCGCTAGCTTAATTTTTAGTAAACCCTCAGTAGATTTTATAATGGAGAAAAGGAACGTCTATAAAATTTTACATAGTTTATAGTTTACTTGAGATATAACAAAAACATTTCATTTCGTATTACGATTTATTATGACCCTATATATGCCTGGAATATGAAACGTGTCTTCCAATCTTTGCTGGAATCGGCATATTCACAATGTTTATTTAT